AAGATTAGAGGAAAAAGAATGAAAAGAAATGAACAAAGCCTCCAAGAAATACAGGACTATGTGAAAAGAACACACCTATGTTTGATCGGTGTACCGGAAAGTGATGGGGAGAATGGAACTAAGTTGGAAAACACTCTTCAGGACATTATCCAGGAGAACTTCCCCAATCTAGCAAGACATGCCAACATTTAAATTCAGGAAACAAAGAAAACACCACAGAGATACTCTTTGAGAAGAGCAACCCCAAGACACATAATCGTCAGATTGGCCAAGGTTGAAATGAAGGAAAAAATGTTAAAGGCAGCCAGACAGAAAGATCGGGTTACTCACAAAGGGAAGTCCATCAGACTAACAGAGAATCTCTCTGCAGAAACCCTACAAGCCAGAAGAGAGTCAGGGCCAATATTCAACATTCTTAAAGAAAAGAATTTTCAACCCAGAGTTTCATATCCAGCCAATCTAAGCTTCATATGCGAAGGAGAAATAAATCCTTGACAGACAAGCAAATGCTGAGAGATTTTGTCACCACCAGGCCTGCCTTACAAGAGCTCCTGAAGGAAGCACTAAACATGGAAAGGAAAAACTGGTACCAGGCACTGCAAAGACATACCAAATTGTAAAGACCATTGACACTGTAAAGAAACTGCATCAATTAATGGGCAAAACAACCAGCTAGCATCATAATGACAGTACCAAATTCACACATAACAATATTAACTTTAAATGTAAATGGACTAAATGCCCCAATTAAAAGACACAGACTGGCAAATTGGATAAAGAGTCAATACTCATTGGTGTGCTGTATTCAGGAGACCCATCTCACGTGCAAAGACACACATAGGGTCAAAATAAAGGGATGGAGGAAGATTTACTAAGCAAATGGAAAGCAAAAAGGCAGGGGTTGCAATCCTAGTCTCTGATAAAACAGACTTTAAACCAACAAAAATTTAAAAAGACAAAAAAAAGGGCATTATATAATGGTAAAGGGATCAATGCAACGAGAAGAATTAACTATCCTAACTCTATATGCACCCAATACAGGAGCATCTAGATGCATAAAGCAAGTTCTTAATGACCTACAAAGAGATTTAGACTCCCACACAATAATAGTGGGAGACTTTCACACCCCACTGTCAATATTAGACAGATCAACAAGACAGAAAATGAAGAAGGCTATTCAGGACTTGAATTCAGCTCTGGACCAAGCAGACCTAATAGACATTTACAGAACTCTCCACCACAAATGAACAGAATATACATTCTTCTCAGCACCATATCACACTTATTCTAAAATCGACCACATAATTGGAAGTAAAACACTCCTCAGCAAATGCAAAAGAATGGAAATCATAACAAACAGTCTCTCAGACCACAGTGCAATCAAATTAGAGCTCCGGATTAAGAAACTCACTCAAAACTGCACAACTACATGGAAACTGAACAACCTGCTCCTGAATGACTGCTGGGTAAATAACAAAATGAGGGCAGAAATCAGTAAGTTCTTTGAAAACAGTGAGAAAAAAGACACACCGTACCAGAATCTCTGGGACACAGCTAAAGCAGTGTTTACAGGGAAATTCATAGCACTGAATGACCACAGGAGAAAGCAGGAAAGATCTAAAATCGACACCCTCACATCACAATTAAAAGAACTAGAGAAGCAAGAGCAAACAAATTCAAATGCCAGCAGAAGACAAGAAATAACTAAGATCAGAGCAGCAGAACTGAAGGAGAGAGAGACATGAAAAACCCTTCAAAAAAAAAAATCAATGAATCCAGGAGCTAGTTTTTTGAGAAGATCAACAATATAGACTGCTAGCCAAACTAATGAATAAGAAAAGAGAGAAGAATAAATACACACAATAAAAAATGAGAAAGGAGATATCACCACGAATCCCACAGAAATACAAACTACCCCCAGAGAATACTATAAATACCTCTAAGCAAATAAACAAGAAAATCTTGAAGAAATGGATAAATTCCTGGACACATACACCCTCCGAAGACTAAGTCAGGAAGAAGTCACATCCCTGAATAGACCAATAACAAGGTCTGAAATTGAGGCAGTAATTAATAGCCAACCAACCAAAAAATCCCAGGACCAGATGGATTCACAGCTGAATTCTACCAGAGGTACAAAAAGGAGCTATTACCATTCCTTCTGAAATTATTCCAAACGATGCAAAAAGAGGGACTCCTCACTGACTCATTGCATAATGCCAGCATCATCCTGATACCAAAACCTGGCAGACACACACAGAAAAATGAAATTTCAGGCCAGTATCTCTGAGGAACATCGATGTAAAAATCCTCAGCAAAATACTGGCAAACCAAATTCGGCAGCACATCAAAAACCTTATCCACCACAATCGAGTTGGCTTCATCCCTGGGATGCAAGGCTGGTTGAACATACACAAATTAATAAACGTAATCCATCACATAAACAGAACCAATGACGAATAAGACATGTTTATCTCAATAGATGCAGAAAAGGCCTTTGATAAAATTCAACACTCCTTACTGCTAAAAACTCTCAATAAACTAGGTCCTGATGGAACGTATCTCAAAATAATAAGAGCTATTTATGATAAACCTATAACCAATATCATACTGAATGCACATAAGCTGTAAGCATTACCTTTGAAAACCGGCACAAGACAAGGATGTCCCCTCTCAGCACTCCTATTAAACATAGTATTGGAAGTTCTGGCCAGGGCAATCAGGCAAGAGAAAGAAATGAAGGGTATTCACATAGGAAGAGAGGAAGTCAAATTGTCTCTGTTTGCAGATTACATGGTTGTGTATTTAGAAGACCCCATCATCTCAGCCTAAAATCTCCTTAAGCTGATAAGCAACTTCAGCAGATTGTCAGGATACAAAATGAATGTGCAAAAATCATAAGCATTCCTATACACCAATAATAAACAGAGAGCCAAATCATGAGTGAACTCCCATTCACAATTGCTACAAAGAGAGTTAAACACTGAGGAATACAAGTTATAAAGGATGTGAAGGACCTCTTCAAGGAGAACTACAAACCACTGTTCAAAGAAATAAGAGAGGCCACAAACAAATGGAAAAACGTTCCATGCTCATGGATAGGAAGAATCAATATTGTGAAAATGGCCATACTGCCCAAAGTAATTTGTAGATTCAATGTTATCCCCATCAAGCTACCATTGACTTTCTTCGCAGAATTGGAAAAAACTACTTTACATTTCATATGGAACCAAAAAAGCCTGTATAGCCACGACAAGCCTAAGCAAAAAAAAACAAAAACAAAAACGAAAACAAACAAACAAAAACACCACCACAACAACAGCAACAAAGCTGCAGGCATCACACTATAACACTACCTGACTTTAAACTATACTACAAGGTTACAGTAACGAAAACAGCATACTAGTACCAAAACAGATATATAGGCCAATGAAACAGAATGGAGGCCTCAGAAATAATGCCACACATCTGCAACTTCTTGATCTTTGACAAACCTGACAAAAACAAGCAATGGGGAAAGGATTTCCTATTTAATAAATGGTGTTGGGAAAACTGACTAGCCTATGCAGAAAACTGAAACTGGACTGCTTCCTTACACCTTCTACAAAAATTAACTCAAGATGGATTTAAGACTGAAATGTAAGACTAAAAACCTTAAAAACCCTGGAAGAAAACCTAGACAGTACCATTCAGGACATGGGCATGGGCAAAGACTTCATGACTAAAACAACAAAAGCAATGACAACAAAAGCCAAAATTGACAAATGGAATCTAATTAAACTAAAGAGCTCTGCACAGCAAAATAAACTATCATCAGAGTGAACGGGCAACCTACAGAATGGGAGAAAAGTTTTGCAATCTATCCACCTGACAAAGGGCTAATGGCCAGAATTTACAAAGAACTTAAAGAAATTTACAAGAAAGAAAAAAAAAAAAACAAACAACCCCATCAAAAAGTGAGATGAAGGATATGGACAGACACTTCTCAAAAGAAGAGATTTTTGTGGCCAAAAAATGTGAAAAAAAAAAAAAAAAAAAAAAAAAAGCTCATCATCACTGGTCATTAGAGAAAAGCAAATCAAAACTACAATGATATAACATCTCATGCCAGTTAGAATGGCGATCATTAAGAAGTCAGGAAACAACAGATGCTGGAGAGGATGTGGAGAAATAGGAATGCTTTTACACTGTTGGTGGGAGTGTAAATTAGTTCAACCATTGTGGAAGACAGTGTGGTGATTCTTCAAGGATCTAGAACCAGAAATACCATTTGACCCAGCAATTCTATTACTGGGTATATACCCAAAGGATTGTAAATCATTATACTATAAAGACACATGCACACACATGTTCATTGCAGCTCTGTTTACAACAGCGACTCAGAACCAGCCCAAAGGGATAGACTGGATGAAGAAAATGTGGCACATATACACCATGGAATACTATGCAGCCACAAAAAAGGATGGATTTGTCTTTTGCAGGGACATGGATGAAGCTGGAAACCATTCTCAGCAAACTAACACAAGAACAGAAAATCAAACACCGAATGTTCTCACTCATAAATAGGAGTTGAACAATGGGAATACATGGACACAGGGAGGGGAACATCACACACCAGAGCCTGTTGGGGGATCAGGGGCTAAGGGGAGGAATAGCGTTAGGAGAAATACCTAATGTAGATGACCGGCTGATGGGTGCAGCAAACCACCAAGGCACATGTATACGTATGTAACATACCTGTATGTTCTGCACATGTATCCCAGAACTTAAAGTATAATTTAAAATATATTTACACATAATTTTACATTTAACTGCCTCTAACTTTTATATCTTGGTGAGGGTTGTTAACTGGGAATTATTAATCCTTTGAAAAAAATGAGTGATTATTGGAAAAGTCAGCAGAGTACCTCTGGGGTGTGCAAAGGAGGAAGTAGTGATCAGGGTGGGGCAAACGGGAGGGTTCCAAAACCCTGCCAACCTTCTGTTCCTTGCTCTGCATGTTAGTGACCGGACTTCAACATTGCATAACCACAGGGGCACTGTTCACACTGGATCGTGTGAACAGGGCACCCTGGAATCCTGCAGATAGAGTTTGCACGGATGCCCTGGCGGCCACAGCCTACATGGCTGTTGTACCTGGCAAACACAGGTGTGGGAGAAAGGAGTTCTCGGAATGGAGGTTGAGGACAGATGTGCATGAGGTTGTCCGAGTTCACCCAGGAGTGTGTTCCAGGTGGGCTAAAGTCCGTGGCTGTTACTCACCATGGCCACTGTGATCCTACGATTGCCATCTCACATCCCCGTGTGCAGTGCCCTGGGCCTGCGCCACGGCCTGGACGGCCACCCTTGGGGACTCTGGCTGGTGGGCATCCTAGGAGACCCACACATCTTTGTCCCTAGCTGGAGTCTGAAGAGGATAGGCTCTTTTCTGCTGGCAGAGTGAGAGTTCCCATCTGGAGATGTCCCTGTGGGAACCCTGGCACCTGGTGCAGGTGGGATTCTGCTCAGGGCTCCACCACTGTGGCTGCATCAAGGGCAGGCACGCAGCTCGGCAGACCTCCAGAGCCCGTCTGAGCTGAGTGGCAGGACAAGGCAGGAGGAGGGGGGTCTAAGACTCTTCAGGCCAGGCCCCACATTCTTCTTGGTGGGAGAGGAGGCTTGAGGGAAAAGCAAGAGGGGGGCACTGAATGAGGGGAGGGACTGGACCTCCTTCTCTCCATTGGGGCCCAGATGGATTCTGCTAATCCCAGGAGCCTCAGTTTCTGCACTTATTTCCCCTAGAAGCGGAAGGCTCTGCCTGACCATGGCCTGAGCCAATTCCAGCTTTCTGAGAGTCTGTACACCCGTCCCTGTGTTTGGGGATATCCCCTTCATCCCATTCCACGCCCTCCTAGGTGTTAGAATTGAACAGCACCTCTTGTGAAAGGTAGATCTCAGCCCTGCTTTTGCCATTCCATCCTTCACGGGTCCTTCACCACAGCTTCCACTCCATAAATCAGCCCTTTCTACCTCAAGGGAGAGCACCCTGATTAATTTGATTCCCAAGTGGATGCATACCCAGAACCAGCTCTGTCCGCAGCTCATCACACTCCTTCCCCTCTCCTGAATGTTCTCCTCAACACCTCCAGGGCAGAATGCACCAAAGCCCAAACAGACCACACCAAATAAGCCCCGCGTTTACTTGATCTCTGTCCCATGTTACCCCAATATTACTGAGCTTCCCCAGCTGCCACCCTGGGAGATTTTTTCAAACGTTCTCAGGCTAATTCAGAGCTCCCCATCTTACCCTGGGAGATTTTCCTAACATTCTCGGCCTACTTCCAGGCTCCTGGCTAACTCACCTGGGGGATTTTTTTCTCAAACGTTCCTGGGCTACTTTCGAGCTCCCCAGTTTACCCCGGGGATTTTTTTCTAATAGTACTCGGGATACCTTCAGCTTAGCCTCTCCTTTCTCCATTGCTCAGGCAACTCTTTATCCCTGGTTCGAGTCCCTACACTTGGGCACCACTTAATGAGATCCAGCTCCGACAGGAGACCTCCACCCAGGTGGCACTGAAGGTATTTCAGAGGCAGACACCCAGATAGTACAACAGAATGGATCTATCCTGGCGAGCCAACAGCCTAAGAGCTTGCGGGGCTGACAGCTCTCCAAACTGACGGCTTCGAGCAGCCTTTAATCCACGTATTTATTTGCTCTTAGTCAGGTGATTCTCATTAATATACAGGTGTTCTATTTTTACTTATAACTTAAAAATACATAAGGTAGGCAGCTATTACTCGCCTACCACTAATCACAAACTAAAAGTATCTTCCATAGGGGAGCCATGGGGGCAGAGTAAACTTAATGTTCCTCAGCAGGAGCATGCAGGGGTGCACACACACATACACATGATAACCTTGAATGGTATCTGCATTTCTCCTGTCTTCGTCTGCTCAACACCCAGTCTCTTGGCAATGGGATCTGGCAGAACCTATATGTACCTCCTCTCTGGAACCGGAATCTGTGCCCAAGTCTGGGGCCTGCCCAGCCCATGATTCCAGCTGAAGGAAGGAAGTGATCCCAACTGTCAGGGAGGGTGAAGGGCAAACAGGGAGCTCAACGAAATCTCATGTGACCTTGAAGGCAGTCTGGAACAGTGAGCAAGGACACGGAAGCATCCTGTCCAGAAAACCTGAGGCCTTAGGTGTGGAGGAACAATATTTGACAGAGACTATCCAAGAACAGCCATGCCTAGCATCCACGCTTGCCGTGGAAAGCAGCTGACCGTTTTCAAATCAAGGGTCTGGAGCCAACTGGCTGCAGAAGGCGCTGTTGGCTGCTGATAGGACACCAAGAATCAGTTTGGCTCCAGAACAGACCATTGCCCCTACCTCCAACCAAGAGACTACCCGGCCCTTTTCTTCCAAGCTCCCTGTTGGCCACCCACCGGGATGTGGCTTCTGCCTCCACCTGGCTACTGAAACTGAGGAGGAGACCTGACGGGATTGGGTAACAGGTTCAAAGGTGACGGCTGAGAGAGGAACTGAGGATGCTGTGAGGGTTCCTGGCCCAGATGACCTGTGTGCGGGTGCTGGCACCGGAGGGACAGAATAGTTCCAGAAAGAGGACTGGGCCCCTGAGAGGAGAGGATGGGCTCTGTCGTGTTCCACAACAGCACAGAAATAACCATGCAGGAAAGGTCTCCTGTGTCAGGCCACGGGGGAGAGCAAGGATGCTTTTGACGGTAAGGATGGTGACAGGGCAGAACCGGGACAGTGAACCCCAGGTGGAAAGGCAAGAGAGACCCAGCTCTGGAAGGAGGCTGTCAGTTACTACTGAAGTGGAGGGAGAATAGCACTGAAGAAGGGGATCTGTGAGACCCTAAAGTACGAGGAGAAGGGGAGGGACCATGAGCAGGGCATGTCGAGGAAAGGGAGAAAATGCTCCTTTGGTCAGACAGGGCCCCCACAGCACCTGGACCCAGGGCACTATGGTGAGCCCCAGTGCAGGGCTGCTGCCTAGAGGCCGGCCCAGGCACTCAGCAGGGAGAGGCCCACCACAGAGATCCAGGGGAACTGTTTCCAGCGCCAGGGAAAGGAGCAACACCTCACACCCCCCAACACTCCCAACAATCGCAGAGAGGGCAGACCACAGACCACAGAATATGAGAACAATTTTATTTGAAACTGCTTTGAACTGCATCAGGAAGGGTGAAATGCAGTGGAAGGGAGGCAGCCCTGGTGGAAGAGGATACCGAGAAAAGCAGCTTGGCTACAGGTCTGGGGCTCCAAAGCCAGCAGCTGCTTGTCTTATCGGAAGACTGACTCCATTCTGTGAAAGACAGAGGCTCAGGCACCGACCCCCAGCCAGGGCCAGCCCACAGCCCTCCTATGCTACCGGGATTGTGGCAAGGGGCATGATGTGTTCAACACTCACTTCAAAAGTCTTTAAACTTGTTGAGAAAGCATCTCACGGCTCCTGAAACGAGAGGCAGAACCGGGCACTCTAGACCCAGTGAAACAGAAAGCCACCCCCTGCTCCCGTGGGGAACCAACCGCCTAGCCCTGCAACATGAAACTCCAGCAGCCCTGGGACTGACTCACCCACCCGTCATCTGAATTAAGTGTGGAAATGCCTTCTAAGCGGGAAAGTGGTTCTGAGGTGTTGGGGCATCCCAGAACCGTTCAGAACGTGTTTCCAAGACAGATACGCCAGCCACCAAGCAAAAACCGCACAAGCCGTACCAGGCAGCAGTTAAAGGGAAAACACACGTGGTATCTCTAATGGCCCTAAGAGAAGGAGATCTCTGGGACTCGTGGACAAAGTGTACATGGAGTTCAGACGACCCTTGCTGTCTGTGCACACCCCCGGCTGGAAAGGCACGGAAGGCTCCAGGGCCAGGCCTGCTTGGTTCTCTTCCCCAGAGGAAAGTCAGTCCCGGTGATGCAGCCTGCACCTGCACCCCACCCCCACCCTCGGCACCTGCAGGAAGACAGCACTGCCCATCCCTGCCCCAGCCAGGGCTCCGTCAGACCTAGCCGCTCTGTAAGATGTTCTATTTCCCTCTGCAGCCATATGCACTAGACCGCCAGACACGGGAGGAAGAGAAATGGTTAGTCAATTCTGGGCCCCTCTCTCCCTGTCCTCCCTCTCTCCCCCAGCCCTTACAGCAGCCATAGTCTGCAGCCCGTTGGTGAGGTGGGTTGGCATGGAACCCTCAGTCGAAAAGAGGCACCTCCCCTCTGTGGGGTGTGGAGGTGGAGTCTGGGGCATGGGGTGTGGGGGGATGCAGAAATCAGTTTAACCTGGACACGGATCCCACCACATAGTGTGGACCTCTATTTCCAGGAGCTACACAAAGCATTACCCGGAGACATCCCTGGGCTCCGGGGGGTGGCTGCTGTCTTTCCGGTGTTGGAGGATGGACAGCTGGCTGCTGGCCACCTGAAAGAGAACACAAAATCCAGCTTCTAACTCTCCCAGTGAGGAGGAAAGGGCCTGGCGGTGTCTAACCTGAGGCAGCATCACCCTCTGCTGGCAACACTTTGGCCCTGCTCTGCCCAGCAGCTCCAACCTTCCCTGTGGGACCGCCTTCCGTGTTCCCCAGTGTGGGCCCATGTGCTGCACCTGTGACCCCCTGCATTGTGACTCCCGGTTGGACGCCAGCAGCGCAGCAGCCATAGGCAGGCCCAGGGACGGCCAGTGTGGCTGAGCAGGACTTAACAGAAAAGGGCTCAGTGCCGCTGAAAGTCTCCTTGCAGAGTTGGAGTTTGGGGCGCTGCTCCAAAGCAGCCCTCATCACACAAAGCCCACTCAGAGACGACGAGGTGGCTTAAAGCCAGCCCCATCGACAGCCCGTTTCCCATGGGACAGCAGCCTGGGTGGGAAGGGAAGCCTGGGAACAAGGCTGAGCCCCCAGAAGCGACAGAGCCAGAGGTTTCCCTCCCTCCCCGATCCCTCTCCCGTCCACCCCTATCAAACCGGTGAGATGTGATCACCGGAGCGGGCACCGCGTCTGAGCAGGAGGCCTCCCAGGCTGTAGGCCGAGGGCTCTGAAGTTCCTGGAACTTGTGGAGGTTTGATGTTGGTCTGGCCACTGCTGAAGTCTCCAAGACGTGTGGACGGGCAAGACAGCCCTGGTCTCTGTGGGGGAGGCTAAAACAGAAATTTCGGAGTCGCTCTGGCGGTGGGGGCGCGCGGTGAGTACACGTCGGGAGGGGTTGTGGTACGGTGGAGACTCTGGAGCCTAATCTCATTAGCACTTTCTCCCTCAGTCAGCCTCAGGCCAGGAGGTAGAGCCCAGCCTGGGAAAACACTGGGGACACTGAGGTAGTCTGGGACCCCTGCCAGCCAGCTCGGGCAACAGCTAAGGAAGGAGGAATCAGGAAGCTGATGAGCCTAGACGGCCCGGGGTTGTGCCCCACACTTGAAGGGGCCGCCCCATCCAAACCAGCTGCCAGCCCTGCCTTCCATCCCAGCTCCTGTCTGGAGGAGGAGGCAGGACCTGCCCGTCACACACCTAGTACCCCTTTAACCTGTACCCCTATGACAAAGGTCCCCATCGGGCATTCTAGTGTCCCTGGGCTCCCGATGACAACCCTTGAGCAAGGGACAGAGGGGGCATGGGTAAACAGGTGTGTGCTGGAAGAGAGGAGGCATGGGGGGAGACACAGGAGGACGACTTTGAAGAGGGAGAGGAGGGCGAGAAGGGTTTACTCACTTGGGCCCCCGGGACGTCATCTCTATGTGGGCCATTATCCTCTCTGGCCGCAGCCTGGGACTCCCTGGTCCTACTTCCTGTGGCTTTCCTCCTGGCAGGGCTGCTGTGCTTAGGCTTTTGGGGTTTCTTGGACATCCCCTGCAGCCGCACACCTGAGAATGGCGGGAAGGTGGCCGGCTCCTGGGGAGTGGCTGAGAGTCTCTCTGGGCGGATAGGAAATGTTCTCCCCGGGGCCAGTTGAGAGGCACCTCCTTGGGGTTTCTTCTCCTGGGCCATCTTCGTCTTCCGAGGGCCCCGGGGCGGGGCCCCTGCCGTGACAGCTCCTCAGCAGCTGGGCCTGACCTCCACCTTTCCCCGGGCCCAGCTCTGCATTTTCTTCCAGGAAGAGGTCTCCAGCTCTCCCACAGCCGGCCTCTCCACAAGTGGAGTGAGTCCGCGCGGAGCAGAGGTCAGGAAAGGGCCTGGCGCCGGCGGGAAGCTGCCGGCGCTGCCTCCGTGTGCCTGCTGTTTTCTTGGGGCTCTGGGCTTGGCCTGGCTCCCTCCGTTGCGGCGACTGCCCACCCTCATCGTCCGCAAGTCGCAGCTCTCATCTGTGGAATCAGAGTCTTCCACAGACAGCACGGCGGGGCCTTTCGCGGAGGGTTGCTGGGGATCCACGCGGACTCTCCATCTGCTCTTCGAGCCCCTTTGCAGGTGCTGCCAGGCTGGGCCTGCCCCAGGACCAGTGACGTGGCGAGGGCCGGCCGAGGCATGATGCCTTTTTCCAGGCCTGGGGCCCAGTGCGCCTCTCTCACTGGGACCGACCTCCAGTCCCGCCCAGTTGTCAGCGGACCCTCTGGCAGCGGCGCCTTCTGGGGACGGGTGTCCCTGGACGCTGGTGGGTGGCACGATGGCGGCTGGCTCCTCGGCCAGGTAGGACGAGCAGTCCACAGCGTCCCCTTGGTCGTCGACCGGGGTGCCAGGCGGGGCTTCCCGGCCCCAGAGCATCACCCTTTCCTCCTCTATCAATTCGCTGTCTGACTCCACACTGATGCCACTCGGATCTGCGAACCCACCCTCGCCCTCGCTCTTGCACACACTGCTTCGCAGCACCCCAAATGAAGGCTGTGGATGTGGCCGTGGCCCAGTGGTGCTCCTGAGCTTGCAGTGAGGGCGCCAGCCTTGTTCACCACCCTCTGGGCCGAAACTTGCCTCCAAAAAGGACACCTCCTTGGAGGAACTTACAGCCCCAGTCCAGTCAGCATGGGCTGTGTGGAGACGGTCTTCCTGGTAACGGTGGGAGGGGAGAGTTAAGCCCAGGCAAGCCCAGCTGAGGGGGCCACGCAACAGGAACAGGAAGGCCTGCGGGACACCACAGCCCTCAGCACAGGCGACAGATGTCCCTGACATCTCACGGCTTCTGCGCACCCTCTAAGCCCGCAGTGCCCCTTCTCACTGGTGTGTCCTTCGCCAGCCAGCGCACCCCTTGTTGGGCGAGGTCTCTGAGCTTTACCCAATCGGGACATGGGTGCTTGGTTTGCCCGGACACCTGTCATTTGATTGGTTGCGCTCCATTTAGAGTGGGCACTGGAGCTCTCCACCCACCTCTTTCTTGCTATCCTGCCGCCTCTGGCCAGGCACCTACTTTCCAAGGAGAGCCATCTGTAAGGCAGGGGTCAAGGGGAGAGCTGTCTCCAGGTCATCAGTTTGGGGGAGTAAATGTCATGATGCACGTTAAGCACCCGGAGCACAGAGGAGCTGCAAGCATCCGTTCTACACCAAGAGGTAGCACCCAATAGGAACATGGGCAGGGAGGCCCACAGTCAAGAAGCAGAGGTTTTAGGGTTGTTTCTGCTAGTGCGGTGAAAAACCCCATTGTCGTCTTCCTAGGGACTCACTCGCTGTGTTGAACCAGTAACGGCTTTGAGTAACACGGACATCTTAACTAACTTCCCCTTCATGAACACGAGATGTGTCTTTCCTCAGTGTTCGATCGGTTTCATTATGCCCACCTTTTACCTCCCTGGATAAATGTATTCCGAAGGGTTTTGTTCTTTTCCTGGTATTCTAAATACATTGGTTTACCGTGTATCTTTTTCTGATAGTTTGTTGTTAGGGCATAGAAATGCGAGTGATTTTCGCATGTTACTTTTCCATTCTGCAACTTCACTGGCTTTGTCTATTAGTTTTGACCATTTTTTGGTGGAGTGCACGTTAGGGTTTTCTCCATGTGAGATCATGTCATCTGCAGGCAGAGATAATTGAGCTTCTTACTTTGCAATTTGTATGCCTTTTATTTCTTTTTCTTACAATAGGTGGTCAAATTGGCACGTGGCTGTGTGCCCAGGAGAGTTGATTGGCATGTGAGTGTGGCGGTTTGGCAGGCCAGAGTTTTTCCATCTCTCCCAGCCTCCCTCACTCCACTGTCGTTTATTCAATGAAGTGTGAAGTCCAACCAATGGTCTAGGATACCTCAAAGCTGCTCATCGTCACTCACCCTAAAGGTGCAAACTAAAATCACAAACCAATTTACACACGGCAAGTTTGCGACTCTTAGAGAGCTTAACCATTCCAGGAGTAGAAGAGGTCCTGAGCAAAGCAGTGCTTTTGCTCACTTGCAGAGGTGGAAGGGGATGGGACGGGGAGGGTGGCCACTTGGGAGGGTTGTTTGGGAGGATCCGTGAAACGCTTTTGCATCGTTCACTATGTGCCTGGCTCTCTTCTGTGCCTTGTCGCTACATGTTAACTCATCCTCTGGACAGTTTTAGGTGGAAGTGTCTGCTATTGCCACCTTCTTACAGGTGGAGAAGCAGGCACAGAGAGGTTCCTGACTTGCTCAAGGTCATTCGTTTGGCTGGTGGGTGTCAGCTGCAGGTCGGAAACCAGGCAGGTGGGCTCCATGGAGTTCCTGCTTAGAGCTGAGCCTCCTAAAACTGAAAAACACGTTTGCAAGGGTGTTAAATCCCAAGACACCAGAAAGTGCCTGCAGTCAAGTAGACTTATTTATCTAGTCTTGCATTCCAGCCCCTTAATCCAGCATTCTCAAAATCCATTCCCAGGGGTATTTCCCTGGCTCCTGCCTGTACAGGCTATCTCTTGCTTGGCATATAATCTCTATTCTCCCTTATCTAGCTTAGCATTACCCAGCGAGGTGACAGAGAGCATATGGGGCAGTCCCTGAGGGAGGCACCCGTGGCTTTGTAGGGGCTAGGGCTGTGTAGCACCTACCAGCATGGGGCCTAGGGTAGCTCTTGCTAGGGCAGGAAGGCTCACCCTTCACACTCCAACCAGCCTCTCCATCCCATAGTTCAGGTGCCTGGGTTTCTGCAAACAGGGCCCCATCCTTCACATAACAGGCCTGTGTTGCTTGAGGATGCCATTGTCTCTGGAGTTCTGTATCATTTGCTATCAAATTATGTTGATGTGGTGCTCCTTAGTTGTGTCTGCTCATCTCCTGCAAGAGGTGAGGGTCTTCTCGGAAGCAACCAAAGAGGCTTTCTGGGTCTTACACCTACACCCAGCCCTGAACTGTTTGGTGACATCCCATAGTTTCTCATTATGTCTCTGAGGGGCGCCAATATTTTTAGCCATCAGTGGCTACTTCTGCCATTTATGTAGACATTCTTTCCTCCATCCTGTTCAAAGGTCCAAATCTTCTTGTCGACAAAGACAAGACCCTCTACTGGATGTTTACCATGAGTAACTGAGGGTGAAACCTTAAGCCACCCATAGCTCACCTTGTGCTAGAGATCATCTATACTCTATGTATCAGTCAGGATGACATCCTCTTTGTCATTCTGAAGGTGAGTGGGCCCATCCATAGAGCCCCTCTTATTACTTACTGTCTTTCCTCAGACCATTCCTGGGAACTCCTTTGTTTATTCAGGTTCCCCAAAAGTATAGAGGCCAGGATGTGATTGGATGGGAAAGATCATTACAGGGCAAATGCTTGTGATTTACAAAGGGGAAGGAGCAGAAGCTGGTAGAGAGAATCTCGTGGGTGACACAACTGTCACACCCATAAAAGAGATGTGGGAGAAGTAGGGTTGGCTAGGAATCTCACACGCAGTTTAGTTCTAACCAAGGTTCGGCTGCACTGATGTGAAGTCCCCAGCTGCAGCTGTCAGTTCAGGAGTCCTTGTCTTGCAGCTACATACGACTGCCAGGCTCCATCACTGGCTGGGAGCTGCCCAGAGAAAGCATGGTCTTGGAGCAAACTCAGTGGTGGATCCAGAGAAGTGGCAGCTGGAGTTTGTCAATCAGCTTTGCTCCCTGCAGTAAAAGATCTGAAGGGCACGTTTCCACCACAAGGAGGCAGGAGTCAAGGATCACTAACATTCCTGTTTTTGTTGTTGTTGTTTGCTGTTTTGTGGCTTTTTTAAAAATTATATTTTAAGTTCTGGGGTACATGTGCAGATCATGCAGGATTGTTACATAGGTATAAACATGCCATGGTCATTTGCTGCATCCATCCCCCCATCACCTACATTAGGTATTTCTCCTAATGTTATTCTTCCCCAGCCCCCCAATCCCCTACAATCCCTCCCCAGTCCCCCCACCCCCCAAAGGCCCCGGTGTGTGATATTCCCCTCCCTGTGTCCATGTGTTCTCATTGTTCAACACCCACTTATGTGTGAGAACATGCAGTGTTTGGTTTTTTGTTCTTGTGTCAGTTTGCTGAGAATGATGGTTTTTGGCTTCATCCATGTACCTGCAAAGGGAGACTCTTTTTATGGCTACATAGTATTCCATGGTGTATATGTGCCACATTTTCTTTATCCAGTTTGTCGTTGATGGGCATTTGGGTTGGTTCCAAGTTTTTGCTATTGTAAACAGTGACACAATGAACATACGTGTGCATGTGTCTTTATAATAAAATGATTTATAATCCTTTGGGTATATACCCAGTAATGGGATTGCTGGGTCAAATGGTATTTCTATTTCTAGATCCTTGGGGAATTGCCAAACTGTCTTCCACAATGGTTGGACTAATTTACACTCCCACCAACAGTGTAAAAGCATTCCTTTTCTCCACATCCCCCTCTCCAACATCTGTTGTCTCCAGATTTTTAAATGATGGCCATTCTAACTGGTGTGAGATGGTATCTCGATGTGGTTTTGATTTGCATTTCTCCAATGACCAGTGATGATGAGTTTTTTTTCATATGTTTGTTGGCTGCATAAATGTCTTCTTTTGAAGAGTGTCTGTTCATATCCTTCTTTGAGTGACTGCCTGGTGGGGTGATGACTAAGACAGGGACATATAAATTTGTGCAAATTTAGGTTAGAAATTATGGGTTTAGTTTTTTGACTAAAATCTAGTCAAGTTTGAGGTACTGGCATAGGACATGCAGATTTCACTTAGAAGTTTTTGGGTGGGCGTGGTGTCTCATGCCTGTAATCTCAGCACTTTTGGAGCCCAGTGTGGGAGCATCACTTGAGCTCAGTATTTTGAGGTTACAGTGACCTTTGATGACATCACTGTACTCCAGCCTTGACCACTAAATGAAACTACGTGTCAAAAAAATAGGGAAAATGAAATTTCCTTCTGTGGTTTTAGAGATGTGTCAGTGCTAGAGTTCCAGCCTCGTGAGGAGTAACCTTTATTCTGAATCTGTCTTCTTCATTGCCTTTCCTTTCTTTTAGTTGTTTTCCACATACCTTCATATTACCAAAAATATCTATCCAATAATATGTTTCCAATGACATATACCTGACAATACACATGTTTTCTCTTTGTATATGTGGGATAAGTTATATTGTGCTTCACTTCTCCCACACACTATTGTGTAACATATTTATCCTTGTTATTGCATGTGTTATGCAATGATACTGTCCATTATCATTGCTTGGTGTGATTTCACCAAGCAAACACAAAGTTGATTCTCATTATCATGATATTGATGTTCTATAAAGTCACTGCAAACACTGAAGGAGACAATCTTGAAACATTGATCCTAGGGGAAAATGCAGGGTGAAGTTCCCGTGATCCTGTCATCACAAGATTTTCATCAGTCTATCAATATATAACCATGTTTCATGAGTATTTCTGTTTCAAAACACCTTATTTGTTATATATTGTTGATTCAACAGTATTGAAATTATGGCCAACAACAAGCACTGTAACTCATGTTTGAACAAAGCTTATCTAATACATGTATTTTCTCCATAAGGCACCTCCCAGCCATTTTGCTCTATGAACACTAGACAGCACTTAAGCACTATGCTTGTGATCAATTTTAATGGTGAAATAACTAATAAAAAGCACAAAATATGGAATATGTGGTACTAAAAAGACCCAGAAGAGGACTCTTGCTTACAGTATGAGGGCTGAAACAAGAAGGCAGAGCTTCCCCTTTTTTGATCTCAGACAGGAACCCACTTGTGCTTTGAGTGACTCAAATATTTCC